TTCCCGAGCCCTCCACACTCACCTAAAGACGCCCCTGCAGCAGCTCGCAGCTCAATGTGACCCTTCACAAAAACGCCAATGTCAGACAGGAAGCGGAATTAAGACCGGCCGGAAGCTGGGTGAAACGGAAAATAAGGGAGCCTTTCCAGCGGCTAGAGCGCCCCGGAGAGGCCACTCAGGCCACGCCCACACAAGAGAACTGCGACCTCCTATTGGACTGAACACCTATTCATCATCCCTGCCTGCCCAATGGTGAGCTTGCTAGGCATTTTGGATTGCCCTGAACTGAGGCTCGCGAGGTCAGGTTACAGATTCTACGCTCTGCCTTTAGCCAGGAAGGTTTTACATCTCAGGATTGGAGAGGGAGTGGGTTTGGGGAGAAYATCTTAGCGAAAGTACTTTTATTCATGCCAGAGGTATTTATTGGCACTAATATAAGGGTTGAGAAGGCATCGCTGAAAAAAAAAAATTCCATACCCTCATAATTATTACGGGATCATTTGAAAATGAACCAGTCCCTCTGCCAGAATCCCTGGTCACAGTGTGAGGAATGCTCAGACACCACCTCCTTTATCATTCATATATTTTCTCAAAACTCAAAAAGCACAATTTAACAAAGATTTGGATGACCGAGGGCTAATAAACCAAAGTCCTTTTTGACATATTATACATACATGGAATGCAACCCATTCCAATTAGGATTCCATTCTTGTGGTTGAACATGATGTGGAGTTACACTGGGTATATTCATATATGAACATAGGAAAGTTATGTCTGATTCATTCTACTGTCTTTCCTATTTCCATTCCCCCACCTTTCCCATCATTCCCCTTTGCTAATCCAATGAATTCCTGGTCCTCCCTCCCTACAACTCCTTATTGTGGGTCAGCATCCACATATCAGAGAACATTTGGCCTTTGTTTTTGGGGATTGGCTTATTTCACTCAGCATGATAGTCTCCAGTCCCATCCATTTATTGGCAAATGCCATAATTTCATTTTTTATTTATGGCTGAGTAATAAGGAATTCTGTTCACACCTCTGTCAGAAGGAGCCTCTTCCTCAGCCCAGAACTTCCCCCACCCCAAATTTTGATCTGACTCTAATCTAAAGCTAAGCTCCTTACAAATGATCTACTTAATTTGGCCCCTTTATACCTTCATCTAGTCCCCTGTCTTCCTCATCCTCACCACTCCAGGCACACTAGTCATCCAGCTGTTCCCAAACATACAGTCTGGCTTTCCTGTAAGTGCTTTTGCCCTTGTGGTTCCCTGAGCTTGGAATGCTCTCCCTAGATGGCTCCCTCTCTCCCCTCCTTCAGTTAGCTCAGAATCACCATAGTGAATAGTAGTCCTTCTCAGACCTACTATTTAAAATTGCAATTTTGTCAGTCTCCATCCTCCTTCCCTACTCCACAGCTCTTTTCTTCTCCTTTCTTTAAATCATGTTTACTCCTTTTTGTCTGTTTCAATAGAATAGAGGCATCGTAAAGGAGCAGTTTTTGTCTGTCTTATTCACCAGTCCATCTAAAATAATGCCTGACACATAGGAGGTGCTCTATAAATATTTTTAAATGAATAAGTGAGTGGGACAGCTGAGGACTAGTAGAGGGAGGTATTTAAGAGAATTGTTTTCTCTCTCCCCTTAGTCTGGCTTCTGAAGCTTTCCACATATTATCTCTGAAGCAGCATTAAGTTCTAACTGGATCAAGGACCTCTTGTTCTGTGCCCATCAACAATGCAATCATTTGTGGAATTACCTATTCATATGCTGCATCCATCCTCCTCAATAAGATCTTTCTAAAACCCAAATCCCTCTCCTGCTCAAACCCCTCTATGGCTCTCCAGTGCCCTGGAGACAAAGTTCAGACTCCTCATCATGGCTCATGGATCCTTGGTGAACTCTTTGTGAACTGGCCCACATTCCTTTTCTGGCCACACCAATATTATTGAAAGGTGCTGTGAGATTTTCCACCTCTGAGCCTTTGCTCTTGCTGTTTATTCTTCCTGAAACATTCTTTGCCCACCTACTTCTCTCTTTATTTTTTTTGAAAGAGTGACAGAGAGTGAGAGAGAGAGAATTTTAATATTTATTTTTTAGTATTTGGCAGACACAAGATCTTTGTTTGTATGTGGTGCTGAGGATCGAACCCAGGCYGCACGCATGCCAGGCGAGCGCGCTACTGCTTGAGCCACATCCCCAGCCCCTGCCCATCTACTTCTCAAATCACTTGTTTCTTCCTCCAGAAAGTCTTCCCTGTCTCTCYTGCTCCTTGGCGAGGTCAGTTGCCTCCTTTTGGGCTCTCATATTCCTCTGGAGTGCTTCATCCCAGCCCTGACCATTCTGGTTTGTCCCTGTCTGATGATGGGTTTGGGATCTGTCTTCCTGGAGCACAGTGAGCTCCCTGAGGGCAGGGTTCAGGAATGTTTTGATGGTATATCCCCACTATCAMGCAGGAGGACCATACAGTAGGTTCTCTGTAGGGGCTTAGAGTTCCCAGAAGGGATGGGTTCTCAGTAAATTCCCAGTAAGCACTCATTAGGGTCTAGGTCTTGGTTCTCTGTTTTCCAACTTGGAACAGGAAATCAGAGTACCTTTGGTGTTGGGGGAGCCAAACATTAGGTCTAATTCCTTGATGATCCCTCGCACTGGGAAGGCATTAAGTAAATCCTTTTTGTAGTCTGAGTCTTATCTTCAAGGGTACAGGGCCAATGAACTTCCATAATTGGGTCTTGTGTTAATCAGATTTTCATTACTATAAGGAAGTACCTGAGGTAGCATAATTTATGAAGAGTTTTACTTTGGCTTGCCATTCTAGAGATATGAGATCCAAACCGCATAGCTCAGGCTCTGTCCAGGGCTTCCCATTGACTATATCCTTTATGATGAATGACCTTGTTGTCAGGTGTGATACTGGGCATTGAACCCAGGGGTGCTCTACTATTGAGTATATCCCCTGCCTTTTCTTTTTCTTTCTTTTTCTTTTTTTTTTTGGGGGGACAGGGTTTTGAGGCAGCCCATAGCATGAGAGACAGGGAACACTCCTGTTGCATCACACAACTAAACCAGTCAGGGTTACTCCAAGTGAATTTGGAGAGTAAATAAAGACATAGATACAGAAAGTAACTTTTCTTTGGKTTCAGTGACTGCTCCTCAGCCGCAGCTCCCTCAAGGGGTCAAGGCAGGCAAGAAAGAGCCAGGAGCACATGCTGAACCCTTTTACTGCAGAGAAGCCATTCAATGAGGCAAGGGGTCAGGTTTCAGGGGGTTGAGTCTAGCTTCCTGACATTTTGCTGTCAGCAGGTTGACTGACATCTAGGAAGGCCACGCCCATCTCAGAGGCTGTGTGGGGATCTTAGGCAGAGCAGGAGAAAAGACCATAAGTCACCTGCCCAGACAGAAGAGCACATGGGTTCAGTCCACCCTGTGTGCTCAGTGCTCATAGTTCACACACACAGCCCATGGCTGACTTGCCACAGCTCCACATTCTCATCACTCAAAGCTAAGGGGCGCTCGGTTCCCAAGTGGCAGCTCCCCACCTACTCGTGTCTGTGTCTCCTTTTCTTCACAAAGCCACAGGATTCAATTGTGGGGTTCTGCTATAAGGACCTTATCTAATCTAATCAATTCCCAAACTGGCCACCTCTAAACACCATAGTTTTTACTCTCCTAATACCATTAACATAAGACTTTGGGAATTAAATTCCCACCTATATTGGGGGAACAAACCATATTCAAGCCTTATGCTATGGGTTTGGATGTGAAGTGTTCCCCAAAAGCTCACATATGAGACAATGCAAGAAGTTCAGAGGAGAAATGATTAGGTTGTGAGAGCTTTAACCCAATCAGCCTTAACCCAATCCCTTGCTAGGGATTAACTGAGTGATAACTGAAGGTGGGTAGRGTAGGGTATGGCTGGAGAAGATGGCATTGGGGATGTTGCTTGGGGTATATTGTGTATGAGGGGAGTGGAGTCTGTCTCTGATCATCATGTAAGCTGACTCCCTTTGCCACACTCTTCTGCCATGATGTTCTGCCTCACCTAGAGACCTGAGGAATACAGCCTCTGTCRATGGATTGAGACCTCTGAAATCATGAGCCCCCAAATAAACTTTTCCTCCTCTACAATTGTTCTTGTCAAGTCTTTTAATCACAGCAGTGAAAAAGCTGACTGATACACTGTATCAGGTCTGATTCCTTTGCAAGTCCCTGCCCATGGCAGACACACAGTAGATCTTGTGGATACTAGGTTGGATTCCTTTGTATGTCCCAACAGGGTGGGCACACAACTGATTCCCTAAATTAGGTCTGGTTCTCAAAGTCACGGTTGTGTCTTGGGATCTTGCAGCCGGAAAGGTGGGTGGCTTCTTAACTCCAGAATTAATCGTTGAGGTGAGCTGTGTTTAGGCTGCAGGAGGAGCCAAGGAGTATTGGTAAAGAGGGGGCCTATGGCCTAAGGGGGACTGTAGCAGAGGGGCAGGGCTTAGGTAGCTAAGAGCTCSMAAAAGAAAGGGCGGGTGTTGGGGCTCAASGGATAAATAAAATAAAGGTATTGTATCCAACTACTACTAAAAAATACATATTAAGAAGAAAAAAAGGGGCTGGGGATGTGGCTCAAGCRGWAGCGCGCTCGCCTGGCATGCGTGCGGCCCGGGGTTCGATCCTCAGCACTGCATACCAACAAAGATGTTGTGTCCGCCGAGAACTAAAAAATAAATATTAAAAATTCTCTCTCTCTCTCTCTCTCTCTCTCTCTTAAAAAAAATACCATTACTTTATTAAAAAAAAAAGAAGAAGAAAAAAAAAAAAGGAGGGGAATACCTAGACCCTGGTAATCTAGGGGCCAAAGGGATGGGGACCCAGGATGGTGTGAGATGAGGATCCGACACTTGAGCACTCCGAAGTASGTGAGGTCAAACTCCTAAATGTGGGGGTGCACACTTAGGCTTTTTGGCGGGTCTAGTCACTGTCGTGGGAAGGACACAGACAAGCACGCGCTAGGAGGTTTGAGCGGATATTTTTATTGGATCTCTGTTCCTTGACTGTCCTCGGAGCAGTCCCGACAGGGTACACCGGGCACTCGGCCCCCGAAGCGGTACGTGTACTTGCGCCCACCGCTCTTACGCACGATGTCGCGGCGGTAGTAGTAGCGTAGACCTCGGCTCAGCTTCTCGTAATTCATGCCGGGCTTCCTCTTGCGCTCGCCCCACAGCCGCGCCACCTAGGTCGGAGGGGGGACTTCGTCAGGGGACGGGTGGGGCGGAGCCGAGACAGGATGGGGGAGCGGACTTGGGGACCCGGACTTGGGGACCCGGACTTGGGGACCCGGCTCGGGTGGTCTGGACGCGGGTCTGGCATCGCCTAGGTGGATTGAATGGGGTTGGTTGAAGCTGGAACCCGGACTCATTTTAAACCCGGTCTAGAGAGGGCGGAGTGGGGGCGGGGCCGAGGATTAGGCACTGGGAACGGCAGGATTAGGTTAGGTTAGAGTCGACCCGGGGTTTGGCGGGCTAGCGGGGTAGGGGAGCTGCCCCACCTCTTTGGGGTCGCACAGCTGGAACTCGCGGCTGTTGCCAGTCCAGCGGATGCAGCTGCTACGCGCCTGGTCGTGGAGCAGCTCCAGGAGGAACTGCCACAGCTGAATGGGACCTGAGGGGTGAAGGCAGGTGAACACTCAGGCTTCTTAGCCCCAGACCTCGCCTTTTGGATCATCTAAGACTCCAATAGGAGTCCAAATGTCCCCTCCTTGGGGATCCTTGAGTTCGGATCCCTCCTTATAAAGGAATCAAGTGTCAGCCTCAGGGACCCAGAGGTCCAGAATCCCCATCTAGGAGATTTAGGAGTTTGGCCTCTCCATCTTGGAGATTCGGGCGTCCAAATCCTTATCTCTTTCCTCTGATATAATCCAGGAGCCTGGATCCTCGTCCCCTTGGTCTTTAGAAGACCATCAGAGTCTTAGTCCTCTAGGCCCTCCCCTCGAGTTCTCGGTACCTAAATCCCTCCTTTCACTGCCAGTGTCCTGGGTCTGCCCCCTTAGGTGCCCCGGCACCGCCACGTTACTCWGGCTTCGCTACCTCCTCAGTCTTCCAGGACCTCTCACCTCGGTGGTTAGTTTTGGGGTAAGGAGCCAAGGCATCCCGGTCAGATTGCTGACTCTGTTCGGAGGGAGTGGTGACAGCTGAACTCTGGTACCCCTTCGAAGAGATGCTGCACTCTGTACGCAGCCCCGGATCCCACGAGGTGGCACAATTCGAATCCACAGGCCCACTCCACGAAATGGCACAGTCCGCGCGCGGTTCCCCGCTGAGGCCGTTGCCCCAGTAGGTGGCGCCGTGGGAGCCCACAGAACAGTCCCAGCTGATGGTGTTTCTGGCAGCCTGGACGTGCGACCACGTGGTGTCACAGTTCTGGCCCACCGTCCCTTCGGAACCAGTGAAGGGGACAGGACCAGGGGCGGGGCCCAGGATCTGGGAGGCGTGGTTCCAAGGGTCCGAGGCAGTGCAGGTGGTGCGGGACAGGTCTGCCCAGTCTCCTGACCACGCAAGGGCCTGAGGGGCTGGCTCTGTGAGGAGGTACAGACCACAAGTGAGGGGAGCTCAGGGGTCCTGGTACCCGGACCCCTTGAGAGTTCTAGCTGTCACTCCTGGTGCCTCCTGTCCAGGGTCCCCAGATCAAGACCATGCCACCTTGAAGATGCAGACATCTCCAGTCCTAGCCCCGATCCGCTTCAAAGAATGGGGAGGGGGATTCTAAACCTCCAGACCCAGCACCTTCGGACCCCTTCTCCCACCGCCCCTCTGCATACACTCACCTGCCCCCCATGAAGCTTCTGGATGTGCTAAGGAGGGGCTCCAGTCCAGCTCTGGAAATCCTGTAAGGGATTAGATGGCAGCTGAGTTCAAGAAAGGGCGGAAGATTTGGAGACCTCTTCAACCACCCACCCATCCACTGGTCTTTTCATGTCAGGGGTTGGGAGTTATTCACTCAGGACTCAGGACCCTCTCTTTCTTTGACCTCGGGAGTCCGGGAGTCCCCTCTTCCCTTAGTCCTAGGAACCCAGCCTTCCTCCTCCAGGACACAGGGCTCCCAGCCCGGGAGCCCACCTTTCCAGCATGTCTCCGCTGTCGGCGTTTCTCCTTGGAGTGCCAGTTCAGGGAAATAGAAGCCAAATTCAGCGCCTTCTGCAGACAAGAAGGATGTCCAGGCCCGGTCAGGAGTCAGCAGAGGCCCTTAGCCCCGCACCCTCCCCACACGGAGTGTCTCAGCCCCAGCAGCCTACCCAGCCCTGACAGCTGGTTCCCCGGAGGCACTTCCTGTGGTGATGCTTCATCCCCATTCCACAAGTCCATGGATGCTCCTTCTGAATATTCTGGGTAGGGAAAAGTGCAATGGGCAAAGGAGGACCCTTAGGGACCCTGGAATATGGGCCCCTACCCTTGCCTCCCTCAGACCCAGGATCCAGCTTTTGTTCCTTCCTTCTACAGGAACCTGAAATCTTGGCCTCCAGTTCCCTTTCCTCTCAAAGGAGGAGTGAGGAGTCTTAAGTCCTTTTTGTCACTGAGGCCCAGGAATCTAGAAACCCGGGTCCCTCCCTAACCCAGACACCCAGGCATCCATCCAGTCCCCAGTTCGTGGCTCACCTCTGGTGGGTTCCTCTGCCCGCAACCGGGGGTCTCAGCTCCATTTCATACCATGCACCCCCTCCCTCGGGAGCCTGGGCAGGGGGGAATTTTCCGAGACGTCAGAGCTGGGGGTCGCAGCTTGGGTCGGGTTGCAGGGGTTGGGGCGGGGCCGAGTGGCGCCCCTGGCCTCAGGGATGCCACTGGCTCTGAAGCTGTTTCATTGCCAGGGTGGGCGTTTTGAGCTTGGACGAGAGCTTTTGGGGGACAGCGGGCTGGGCGAGTCCCATCCGAGAGGTGTTTACGGGGTGATGAGGGCGGGGCGAGGGGCTTAGTGGAGAGGTGCTCAGACTTGGGGGATTTGATCCCGCGACATRGGAGGTGGTGGGGGAGGAGGACCTGGGGTCAGCTGGGCTACACCAGGCTTATCTGCAACAGGAAGAGGGATTTCCGGCCAGATACCCTCTTCCCAGCTGACGTCACAATTGGCAGGGTGAATGTGGGTTGGGGTGGAAGGAGAACCTGAATCTGAATCCCCCAAATCCCCCCCCCCCAACAGGCTCAGCTGGGGAGGGCCTCCCGAAGCTGCTCCCCAGGAGTGTCAATCATAAGAATAGTAACATCAACAACTTGAATGATAAGCGCTAGTAATAACAATAGCTAACCTTAAGTGAGGGCCTGTTGTATTTTATATGCCAGAGAATCACGTGCAAAGGTCCTTCATTTAATGAAGGTCCATTTTTTGAGGTAGATACTGTTCGTCCCTGTTTTATGGAGGAAATTGAGGCAGACATCCTCCCACTTCTCTTTCCAAAGCCCATGTACTTCCATGCTTTAARTTTGAAACTGGAAAATTTTGAGTATAAATTCAATGAGATATCACATGGAGTTATTAGATGTGGTGATGGCATTTTATGAAAGATGYCTCTGTGAAGAAATAAATACAGATATTTAGGGTTGAAGAGCTATAATGCCTGTAACTTGCTTAAAAAATTAACACACATGAACATGTTTATCTGAAATTCATAAGTAGGTATTCCATATTACTATTTGCTGTCTGGCAACCCTAACCTCAGGCAACCTGGCCTTAGATACTGTGTTTGTGCCAGACCTCCTATACAAATAAGTAAATATTTACTGCTAGAATCTTTTTTAATAWGGAGAGTTACCAATATTCATTCAACTTCATAAAATATTTGTCATTCTGGAGGTAGGAGTTGTGTGGAGAGCACTGCTTTCCTGTTCATTTTACAGAAGGGTAACTGGACCTCAAGAGGGAGAGTCACTTGGAACTGGGATTGGAACCCAGTGGGAGCAATCCATTGAGCCCTGGGGTATAACTCCATCCATTTACTCCATGTATCTGAAGGGAGTCCTGGCCTCCTTTCCCTGAAGCTGGCCTCTTTCCTGTCTCCATGTGCTTCTCCCCTGGTTGGTGTCCCCAAATGTGGTCCCTGTTGCACCAGGACTGACTGAATCCAGTGAGGTCTTGTCACTCAGTATCTCAGACAAGTCTTGCTCCCTCCCTTCTCTGAGTGTTCCATCTTCTCCATCTCTCTGAGTTTTCTCCCCACCTCCCTTCTCATTGCAGTCTCTAATAGTTCTTATCACTCTGCCTGAGCTTTCCCCTCTCCCTCCATCTCTGTATCTTTGCCTGCTCTTCCTCTCCATCTCTGTGCATATCTCTCTGGGTCCTTGACAAGACTCCTGTGCTTACTTCAACAACTCTTCTTTCTGGAATCACTCTCTCTTTCCATGTCCTTCCTGTCCCAGAGGTTGCAGTAAGCAGATCAGGGATAGGAAGGGCTAGTGATAGGGAAAAGGGGTTTGAGGGTCCTGGAACTGGGAGGTCCAGCCCAGGTGKCAGGGGGCTAAGGGCACTTCCTGCCAAGGAGGGAGGCCCTCACCTCTCAGACCAGACTGGAAAATATGACGTCAGAGAGGAGGCAGTAAGAGARGGGAAGACAGGAACAGAAGAAATTTGATACCTCTCCTGGGTGATCTCCTTCCTGAGAGGCCTTGGTATTGCTGCTCCCAGCCCCCAGCCCCAGTCCTTCCCTGACTTACCCCCTAGCCCAGGGCTCTATGGCTGCATCCCTGGGAGATTTTCATTCCTCTTCCGAAGTCCAACCCTGCAAGCCCCTCAGAACCTACCCTAACCTCCTTCCAGACCTCCAGTGCTCAGTGGTGGTCCCTTGGTTTTCTAAACCCATAGTATGTGATGCCAGTCAGTCCTGCTTGCTGCCTGAACTTTGTCCCAGCTTCTCAGGTTCTCTGCTGCCTTTAGGGTAAAGCCTAAGCTCTTAGCCTRGTGATTAAGTCCTGCTTGGACACCTCTTCAGCAGGTGGAGGCAAGCTCCAAGAAGGAAAAAGAAACAGAGATACAGACATCTAGAGACAAGAAACAGAGKGCACTGAGAGACCCACGCAAGACAAGTTGGCTGACATATGGCAGAGTGAAGAAACTAAACAGCGAACCAGAGTAAGAATGGTAGGAAGAAAACCTGAGTGGACAGTTCTTTAGGAAGCCCTCCCTGACCCCCAGGGATCCCCCTGCTGGCCCTGGCCAGTCTGGGCCTACTCTCTGACACTGAATCATGAACTCTGAGGAAGCAGGGTACAGGACTGTTGGTTGTTTGTCACCGCTGATGATGCTGTCACCCAGCATCATCCAGGCCCTCGATGAGAGTTTGCTGACTGCTTAAAGCCTAAAGGCTGTGAGCTCCAGAAGGCAAGGTCTAGGAGACCTCCTATCTTGATGCTGATAACACAGGCTAGTGTGTGGAAACTCATCTGAAATCTGAGCCTCAGCTTGGTTGTTACCTTCCCAAAGCCTTCCTTCCTGCTCTGGAATAGGMGGCATTCAGTATGCACTTAAGAGGTTTTAAGTGGAGGTAATGGGCACATGGTAGGGGCTCAAAATGCTCATCTGGATGTTTTGCCTGGGTAAAACTTCAAGGCTACTCACATTCTCAGGTGAGGGAAAAGCCTGGTACCCAAAGAGTTCTTCCAAGCACAGCCAGGGATGGAAATGAACGTAAATTTATTGAAACTGGTTTTGGGGCAAGTGTGTGGATAGTTGAGGGTTTTCCAAAGACAGCTCTGGGGAGGAGCCAGCGCCCGGCCGGATGGGAGCGGGTGCCCAGCCACAGACCCTATCTCAGTCCCAACTTCTTCTTTTCCTTCTGCTTCTTGCGGACCACATCCAGGTTCCGGTCCTTCCACATGCTCTTACGAAGCTTGATGGGGCGTGAGCCCACATATTTCCCTGTGGGACAGGAGGACTTAAGGTAAGGCTTGGGGTAAGGCTTAGGCCAGATGCCTGCCGTACCCACTGCCCCTAGGGAAAGCCTCACCCACCATTCATCTCACGCATGGCGCGCACATAGTCACTTGGGTCCTTGAAGCTGACAAAGCCATAGCCCTTGGTCTTGCCGGTGCGCTTGTCACGGATCACCTTAGCCTTAAGGAAGGATGGGAAGCGGCTGAAGGCACGTGCCAAGATGTCATCATTCACCTCATTGCCCAAATCCCCGCAGAAGATCCGGAAGTCATCTGGGGTTGGGAGAGAGAAGTCAGAGGAAGCAGATGCTGGCCCCTGTCCACCCTATTTTAATGACCCCATCTTCTCTGATGCATCCTTAAGCTCTCTTTCCTCTATTCCCAAAGTCTCTAACCTGGGATCCTTTGTGATAACAGCAAATACAACATCTTTGTAGTATTTACCCTGTGCCAAGTACCCTGGGGGGTTTACATATCTGATGCTCCCAACAGCCCTTTCACACTGAGGCACAGAGAGGTCAAGCGGCTTCAAACTTACACAACTAGGAGGTGGCAGATGGGACATGAGCTCTGGCATCTGGCTCCAGRGTCCTCACTTTTAACCTCTAACTGTATTGCTTTTTCTCACCCAGGACTGTCACACATTCCCATGAAGAAGCCCTGAATTCTGACCTGGTCCTGGCCTTCCCTCTGAGACCCTGTTGTTCCTTGGTCTCCTGGACACCTCTCCAAGGATGTCCCCTGGGCTTGACACTCACCAGTCTCCCACCATGGCACCTCAGCACCACAGGCTTCACCTTTCTTCAACTATGCAGAGGCTGCTCTAATTCTACCTTGAAATTATAAACTGTGTGACTTTCTCCAAAGCTGATCTCAGCTGCCACTCTTGGGAATATCCCTGGGCAATATCCTAGGCCTGAGCCTAGACTGATCATGCTCTACCCCAATGAATCACTATCCCCAGAAAGCACATATCATTATTTTCTTTTTGGAGATAGGAAAATGAGGCTTGAAAGGCTAACTACCAAGGTCTCAGATCTAGGGTCCCAAACCAACACTGGACCCATCTGGGTCAAGGCTGCTTGGCCCTGACCTGGGGCAGGTATATTGTCCCAGGATAGGAGGCAAAAGTCAAGGACTTGGTGGGAGGTAAGTTWATTTTCTTCCTCAGCTATCGCCATGGTTGCCCCAGGCTTCTATRCTGGTTAAGGACACTTTGAGAACAAGCTAGGCCATCCCAGGAGGAAACAATCTGACAAACTAAGAGGRTAGGAGCTTCTAAGACATTTGGCCTGGACATTTGAAAAAATTATACATAACACAAGGAGGTGGAACATGCCTGTAATCCCAACAGCTTGGGAGGCTGAGGCAGGAGCATTACAATTTCAAAGTCAGCCTCAGCAACTCAGCAAGACCCTGTCTCAAAAGACAAAAACAAAAACAAACAAAACCCCAAACCAACCAACCAACCCCCCAAAACAAAACAAAACCAAACCCAAGGAGGTGGGAAGAAGACCATTCTCATTGAAAGTTATTACGTGGCTGCAGAAGTGCCTCCTGAGGCCAGTCAGTAYGCAGGCTGGCTTCCCCTCCCAGCCAAAGCATCTCCGTGGACAGGCCTCTTCCCACCACTCTCTAATCACTCTTGCTGCTGAGGGTGACAATCCAGGGAAAGGTTCACAAGGGGCTCAGGAAGCAGAGGTACCCCCTAAAGCTTCCCTTGCCCAGCTGGATCTATAGCTACCACCTGG